ACCCAATGTCAGCAATGGCTTTGCCGAAAAGCATGGCCTTCAAACACTGAGCTGAGTAAAGGTGCTGCGGAATGTCAGGGAAAATCACAACGTTGCTCTTCTCAAACGTGTCCAGCTTGAAACCAGCAGCGTTCAAGGCACCACTCTGGAGCAAGTCCATTTTCGGAAATGCCAGGCACACATGAACCATGCTAGGAAATGAAGGAACTGGTAGAACTTCTTGCTTGCGTTGCGCCGGCTTGGCACACTGCTGGTAGACCCCGCCATTCGGATCAACGTATGGTATGACAGCACCTGGTGGAGTGCTTGCAGCAATCATGGCTTTTTTGGCCTGCACAGCAGACTGCTTTTCCATCGCTGCCTCAAGCTTTGAAGACGAAGCAGCCATGCCCTCCGCAGCTACCTTTTTGTCTTTCTGTTTTTTGTCCTTCTTCTTGTCTTTGTCTTTGTCTTTTTTCTTTTTTTTGGCTTTGCCTTCTTCTGCTGAGTCACTCTTGTCCTTCTTGTCTTTCTTGNNCCTTCTTGTCCTCCTGCTGCTCAATCTTGTCAGTCTGGTCCACGTGATCCGTCGGGGCCGCGAGCTCCACGTTGCCACGCATGTCCTACTTGTTTTTAGGGTTTAGGGTTTAGGGTTCAGGGTTTAGGGATTTAGGGTTTAGGGTTTATAAGTTCACGGGCTCGGGATCTCATTAACCCTAAACCTTCAACCTTTATTTTTCTATACCTTGTACTATCTTTCTTTTTGTCCTCATATTCTGTCCGCACTCGCTTTGCTGGATTGTCGGGAAGCGGCACTCCACGTTTAGCATCAGCGCGTGCAGCTGCCACAGCAGTTGTTGCATCCAACAGCGGTTGCCAGGATGCTTGGGTGGCAGATGCGTTGACAGCATCTGTCACGGCCTTTGCATGTTTGCCCAGTGTAGACCGTATTGTCACAACTTCATCACCTGCTGCTGGGACTACTCTTGACAACTTGGGCTTTGTCTCACGTAGCCTGTCAGAGGCTGATGCCTCCGCACTGGAGCGGCCAGGAAGTTTTTTTTCTCCGTACATCACCTTGTAAGCTTCCCGGACTTCTTTGCCATACACAGAAGGCTGCTGGTTTGGGCCTGGAACAAACGGAAGCTTCAAGAGAGATAAAGGATCGAAAGACATGCCAACTCGGCGTCCTGCTTGGTCCTGCAAATTCAATTTGATCGCGCTTTGAAGACTGTACATGTTCACCTTGTGGGCCCGTCGCTTCATCTCCTGCAGCGAGAGCTCCCCGAGCCATCGCTCCACGGATGCTGTGCCTGTTAAAAGCACAAGCCCTGCGGTCACAACCGTCATCGCCAATTTCCGTGAACGCTTCTGCTCACGAGTGAGCTCCGACAACGTCTTCAACCAAGCTATCGTGCTGGCACTCTCGAAGGCTTTCCGTTTCATTGATGCCGGACGATATCTCATGTCCTTCTCTTCGTCATACACACCCTTGGTCTGTAAATGCCACATCGCCCGGCTGTAGAGCCCGCCGTGAGGGCCGTTGTCACTGTTTGCACCGGCCAATTGTTGCCTCAGTTTTTCAAGACATGACCCTTCATGTGAGTGCTGTACATCTATGGTATGATCTGTGTCCCATGTTTCATCGGCTGAGTTTCCAACCATACATCTGCTTCTGGGAGGTCTTCGTGCCGTGCCAAGGCGTATATGAAGTCTTTGCGTTGGGCCCATGTCAAGTCTGCCTCGAGGTCCAGAGCTGCGTAGCAATTCACTACCTCGTGGCCGGGAAAATTCGATTCAAAGAAGGATTTGAAAACGGCCCAAACCTTCTGGCAACTTTGCTTGAGCATCTCCATCTTGTTGGCAGGCACCGGGATGGAAGCTGAAACAGTACGGGGCCCGTCACGGTATTGGATAATACCAATGTCCGAAATTGTCTGCAGCACCTTCTGCGTCATCGTGTTTCGGGCGGTGTCTTGCAAAACCGCCTCGTCGCGAAACATGACTGCCATGTCGTGCAAAACAGCTTTTGCCTGGCCAGGCAAACAGTTTGCCCGAGAGTCCCTGTAATTTTAAAACCCGTTAAATCCTTCCCCATTTAAATCCGCAAGCAAACATAGGCAATGCCTCAGCTGCTTTCAAGATGGCACTGGATTCAGCTTTGTCCTGCAGACGCAGAAATTTCTGACCCACGAGAATACTGTCAGCCGCCACTGCTGCGCCAGTCAAGGCTTGGAAGCTGCCCTCCCCTGTCATGACTCGTAGCAACTTTTTGGCCCATTGTTGGTCGTCAGGATCTCCAATTGCTGGATCTGATAGCCGTGCCAAAAAGTCCAGTACCGCTGGTAGCAGACACAAGATGCGCAGCAAAGGGTCAGATAGTGAAGCAAATCTTTGAAGAGCCAGGCTGAAGTTCTTTAGATGCTTCCCAAAATGTGGCAGCTTCTTCTGGCTCTCGGCGAAGATTTGTTTGTATTTGTGCGATTGCCTGGGCTCCCATAATTATCAATTGATGGCTCGCAATACACTTCGAAGCAATAGGGACAGCAACCGAAGAGTGAAGAGTTTACGATCTTGCAGGAGAAGAACTGAAGCATTTTTCCTAAGCTCTGGTTACCCGTTGTGAACATTTCAAGCAGCCCAGCACACATCTCGTTCAGCACATTGAACGAACCCTTTTGGATGCTGTGGGCTCGGTGCGCCCGATCTCGAGTAATCAACCGGCAGCTCGGCAGGAATCCTGATTTGTGTAGCAGGAACAACCCGTTTTGCTCAGACGGACCGCCGTCCGCCACGGCCGAGAAGATTCTTTCCTCCAGGGAAGTTTCGGCATCAAATCCCCAAGGCACGAAACCGCACAGCTTTCACCGTAAAGCCCAACATCCTAAACCCAAAACGTTCGAACTTAAACCCGACTTGAGTGAAAAACAGCTCCACCGACCTAGCGGCAAACTTTAAACTCCACACCCGTAGGACAGCATTCAAGTGTTTTTTTTGCTCGCTGCGGCGTGCCAAGCGCGTGCCAAGCATGAAGCTGCAGCAGTCCTGCGGCGAAGGAATGAACACACAACCCTCAAATTGCCAAAGCAACGAAGTTGTGAGGCGACTCACTCTGTTTTTAACCTCTACTCCCCCGCATGCTTCGCAAAACTTGTTGTGCAATGTCGGCTCTCAGCTTTATTGCTGTGTCAGCCTCTGGGACAAAATGGCTCGAATGATCACTGCCAACATCGGTCGATAAGGCAAGTGCTTCAAAATGGTGCTGCAATGACCTGGGCTGACCGTGCTGCAGTTCAGCAAGCCTGGTCTCCAACCTTTCATCGACAGCACCTCTCGCGGTAGGAGTAGCCGCACATCAGGGTCTTTTTTCCCCTCCTGTCTCTGGACGACAACCACATTTGAAAACTTGTCCGGCACTGTCGTGCAGCAGGAAAGCGCTTTGGAACCGGCTGTCAATTTTGGCAGGGTGGATGCCATGAGCACGGGCCCGCCCTCGAGAGAAGACACTTGGTTCAAAAGAAACAAACCTACAGCGGCCGGCTTGATGCCCTGTTTGGCGAGCACCTTCTCACACAGCTTCATGTGCTTCTCCGGCGGAGGAGCCGTGAGTGAGTGTGCCTTCATGTACGTTTCGGTTGCAAGTTCCATCACTGACCGATTTTTTCTTAGGGTGCGGCTCTGAGTCGTCAGCACCAGCCTGCTCAGTAGAGCAGCCGGGGCCGTCAGCGGACCTCTTACCAGATCCACCACCAGTCCTTACCTTCATGTCGGGCCCAGGCCAAAAGCTCTTGAACTCATGCATGGACTTGACCATGTGCGAGCTGAGGCTTTGCCTGTCATCAGGCTTGGCGGTTTCAAGATATTGGTCGATCATCTTAGAGGCAACTTCAAGGGATCGTTTCTCGCCGGCACGTGCCAAAAGCAAGAAGGAGCAAGGTCCCTGCAGCAGCGGGAGGCCCAAACGATTTGCCAAGCAACTTTTAGTCTCCCCGGCCCAGTCAGGCAACGATACGAGAATATCCTCGAAGATTTTTTGGCGTTGGGAGTTCTCCGAGACCACTACGAGCAAATACCTGCAAGCTGTGTTAAAACAAGCGTGTACGCAATGAGTTCTTTTCGAACTCCTGGTAACATGAGCCTAGGTGCCATGGGGCATAGTCCTTCGTCATCTTTGCCAAGCTCTCTATCTCTTTTTCTTTGCCCTTCAGAATCTGAAAGACCAGCAGGGCTGGTTTCTGCAGATCTTTTCTCTTAGACTGTGTCTTGTCTTGAAACCGGTAGCATGCTACGTGTTGGTCAAAGTACTTGACTCTGGACGACTCATCGTCACATACTCCCAGGGTCGTGATTGGAACCTCGCACGGCAAGTCGCCTTCGCATCTCAAGCAAACCACAGCATCAGCCACATCTTTCTGAAAAGTGAGGATGCGAAAGGTCTCCGGTGACGCCTTAGAGGACGAACACAGTACTAAACCATGGACCCTAACCCTAAACCCTGAAATTTAATCGTAGCCGCTGCAACACTGTCGGACGGCAGCTCTGGGAGGGCTGCATTGGCCATGCTGGCAACGATAACACAAAACGGAAACAGCAAACCGAGCCAATCTGGAGCATCAAAGCATCTCTTTCGAAGTTGTGCACTGCAATCAGAAACTGCTGCGTGCTCGCACAAAACTTCAGAGCAGCAAGAGCAAGCTTTTTTTTGAGCCAGACATGCCGTGTGTCACCCCTGCGAGGAAGCTGAGTGCGAGGAAGCTGAGAACTCCCGAAAGATCATGTCTAATTCGGAATGGCTTGCCCGCTTCGGCCTGCCTCTCACCATGGACCACACAAGCTTCCGTTCCAGTTCATGACGCTTAAGCTTAGCAGCAGCTCGAGCGGAGACAGCAGTGTCCCAAGATTTCACATCTGACTTCTGCAACATGTGCACTGACTCGAAACTTCCGACAAGCAAGCTACCAGAAAATAGCTCAAAGGCCACAGCTCCGAGTGCAGCCACATCTGCTTGCGCAGTCAAAGAGACCTGATCAGGGTTCCGCGCTGAGGAAGTTCAGGAGATTTCGCTGGGGGGCCTGATGTCGCGAAACCGAGAAAACAACCAGGAGCTATGAAACTTAGGGTTTAGGGTTTTGGGGTTTAGGGTTTAGGATCCGAGGTTGGGGGCTTGCTTTGGGCCCTTACATGAAGCGAACTAAGATCACGCCTCCTTGTCCATGGACAGCAACACCTCGATGGGCTTGTAAGCCCCGGAGTAAACAGCCCGCCCTGAGACACACTTCGCTCGGCCTTCCTTCATAAGCACTGCCAAGCCAAAATCTGCCAAGCGAGCACACGAGCCGGACTCGTACAAAAGGATATTCGAGGGCTTTATATCACAATGGAGGATGCTGCGATGCCCCAGGTAACGAAGACCACAACACAGCTGACGAAGCAAAGTCATTGCCTCCATTAGGGGTGGTGGAGCCTGGCACTTGCTTGACAAAGTTCCGTGGCTCAGCGGCATCAACAGCACAGGCGAGCATGCTTCGTCGCAAGCATTGATCAAGCCAAAGCTTTGGACCACAGCAGGATGGGAACACTTTCTAATCATATCATATTCGGCACTGATCTCTTCCTGGCGCCGATCGCTGGCCACCTTGCCAGCAACATGTGTATAGCAACCATCTGAAAACTTGTACACACTGCCATACGTGCCTTGCCCCAGCTTCGACAAGCAAACCATGTCGATACTGTTCCATGTCAGGCTAATGCTTGGCACATCTGCATCTGCACTGACATCCGCTTCTGCCACCACTGGCTTGTCTGCACCCAGAGCCAGTGCCCGAGCAGCTTGCTGCTTTTCGAAAGCTTCCTGCGCTTGTTTTCGAAACGGGATCTTCTGCTCCTCACTCATGCTGGACCTGAATCACAAGGAGCCAGGCTGAAGAGTACTTTGGAAAAGTAACTTCAGAAATGACCAAACATAACACGTAAGGCCGTCACCATCGCTCCGATAAGTCTTTCCAGGATGTATTCACCACAGACTTCCCACGGAGCCTCATTCCTGGCTTTGCAGCTCTCTTGGCTGCATCTTTGACGAAGAGTGAGAAGCAATTTCCTGCCCGAGCTATACCCAACTTTTTGTTGGCAACATACTTCTTGCCTCCTTTGGCCATGCTCCCGAGCCGTTAAACACTGCACAAGAGATCGTATGAATCGAGTGCTCCCTGCATGACAAGAAGCAACTCAACAGAACAAAAGGCTCCCGTGTTTTCGCGGAGGCCTCCCCAGTTGCCAGTCACTCCTCACGACTTCGACACTCGGTACGGCTGATAACCAAGCTGCTTAAACACTCGCTCGGCTGTAGAAGCCAAGCTGTGCCAGAACGGGGCAAAGAACTGTTATCAAGGTCGAGGTGACCATGCACTTCCCCAAACAGCTTGCAACTTGGTTGTCCGTCACTCCTGTGACATCCCAATCAGGTGGGAATCCCAGAAACCCACTGACTTCTCTCATCGCCAGGAACCTGGTCCAATGCTATTCCACACTCAGCCGAGCATGTACACAACCGAAACTAAGACAGGAACCTGCCCATCTTGTACGAAAACAGCTTCGAGGATGTAGTAATGCACGGCGCGGTTCCCGTCACGTGAATCTTTCCTCTGTTGGAGGACTGGCCCACGTCAGCGATCGGGTGGCAGAAGGCTGTGTCCGTGGAAATTCCCAGCAGCTGCATGCTGTGCTCGATCATCAGCTGATACCTCTGAGCTAGATATAATATGGGGAACACAGCTACACGGGCACACAAGCAAGAAAGTTCAAAGGCCGTGCCACGTGTCGATTTGAGCCTTCAGCCAAGGAAGGCACTGCACTTTGCAGGACATGCGAGTCTCGAATGGCTTCAATTCCACGTCCTCGAGTCATGGATTCAAACAATTGCACAGCGGAGCCTGCTCTTGAAGAAATCGGGGTCCTTGGGCAACCTGCCAGCCTCGATGGCCTTCTTCATCGCTGAGTGCAAGTAGTCACCATACAACTTTTCGGACTCTGCTTGCATGAGTCCTGGAGCATGCTGTGCAACATGATCCCGAGAATCACCGGACAGGAACGTGTCCACATGATGAAGCCGTGCTTTGTCCAAAAGCTGATCACGGATCTTCTCCACATCAGCCTCCACCTGCTTCAGCGAAATCGTGGTCTCCGCCACCAAGCAGCCAATGGTGAAGACACGCTCGCGGATGGACGGCCTCAGTAGCGAGGCCTGATATGAAAATCAATTGAAGTCAGCCCTCGGTATTTAAACTTGACCACGCCATGATGCAAGGGAGTGCTGGGCAACTGCACAGTGATCCACCGATACCTTTCCCCCAGGACTTCCTTCAAGACAGAGTAGACCCAATCCAGAGCCCGATCACCATGGTCACCACCTCTTGATTTCTTGATGCCGCTGACATTCTCTAGGATGAACATCTTCGGGAGGTCTTTCAGGATGAGCTGGGCTACCCCTTT